TATATATGTACATACAATATTATACATATTGTATATATGTACATACAATATTATACATATTGTATATATTTACATACAATATTATACATGTTGTATGTACGCACGTACAATATTATACATGTTGTATGTACGCACGTAGAATATTATACATGTTATATGTACGCACGTACAATATTATACATGTTGTATGCACGCACGTACAATATTATACATGTTGTATGTACGCACGTACAATATTATACATATTATATGTATGTATAACATTATATGTATATGAATACATGTTATATGTATGCACATACAATATAGTGTCGTATATGTACTGTATTATATATTGTACTGTACGTATATTATATGTCGTGTATATGTATGTAATGTACATATGTATGCACACACGATAAATTGTATAGTCACGTTCCCTTTTTTTTCCCGAGAGTGGTCAAGTAAAAAAATATCGCGGTTCGATGACCGAAAGAAACAATCACATTGCACACTATTCCCTATAATAACGTTTCTGCGAGAGATCTAACTTTTCAGCGACCGTCTGACAGAACAAGAGGAGAAAAAGAAGAAGAAGAAGAAGAAGAAAAAAGACGAGAATTGAAAATTATGTCGAAGTGATGATACTTGGCATTTTCGAGATTACTTTCGACAACAGTTCGACGAGCAGAAAGGGACGAGAGGTGATGAACACGTGGGAGGCGAACGACACCAACGAGCGAGCGAGAAGAAGACTATCAACGGCTCGAAAGACGTAAGGATGAATCGACGACTCGATTAGAAAATAACTGCCCGCTACGTGCGACAGTCTAGATACTCGCACGATACGCAACAGAGCGTACCGTGTATCTCTTTCCCCTTCTTCCCCTCCTATTTTGATTCCCTTGTGCGTTAACTACAAATACATATATATGACACGTACGCGCGTGCGAACAAAAGCACGAAATCAGAAGATTTTTGCAAGCAAAAATTCATTTTTTTTCTTTTCTCTCTCTCTTTCTCTCTTTCTTACTTCTTATTTCTTCATTTTCTTTCTACTCTCGGCCGTATCGGCGAGAATTAGCATTCCGAAAGACAGCGTGTTTCTCATGTGCCGATGGCGACACACGTGACACGAAACGAAGAGAAGCGGCAGGAAACAAGATAACGAAAAAGGAGACGAAAGAAGACGGAGAAGAAAGAGACGCGAACAAATCTCCGCGAAAAAATGGAAATAAACGGCATCAATAATTGCGTGTTTCTATTAAGCGCGCCGTATTTTTTTTTTTTTTTCAATTAAATTTGTTTCCCTATGGTCGGTTCCTCGTTCCTCTCTTTCTCTTTGCTACGCTTTCTCCTTCCTTTCGATCTTCTCCCCTTTTTTTTTCCTCTCCTTTCCTAATTTTCGTACGTATTGGTCCTGCGCGTACTCTCTCTCTTTCTCTCTTCTTCTTACGGAAAAATACACGGATGAAATACTTTAATGTAAGCGTCGCGAGCAAGAAGAAAAGTGAAAACTCTCGTGTACGTACGTCCGCGGAATGGCGGTCGAGATGATTGAGATCGTTTAACAAACCCGGAACGTGCGAGATTTGTACCGTTCCGGCGCTGGGGGGACAACGTTTCTGACGTTCTTGCATCTTGTATACTCGGAGCGGGCTAATTGGCGACCCCCCACCACTTTCCTGATCGCTAGCGCTACCCCCTCCACTGTATCGACCTCCCCACTCCTCTGGCGTGCACCAATGGAGGGGGTAGCGCTAGCGATCAGGAAACTTAGGGGGAGGGGCAAAGGCTTGCGAGCCGCCAGTTAGCCAGCACACAGTGTTTCGAAAATTCGTTGTTCGAACCAGTTTGAACAAAAAGATTCGTTACGATTGCGCGATACACCTGACACGGTATATAAAATAAAATAATCGTTCGTTCGTTACATTCTTAAATCAACAATTCTACGTTACGTTCAACCATATGATGAAAATAATCGCTCACGGTTGAGATTTCACATGCGAAATTCAAGTATGAGAAATGAAATGACAACACAAACACGCGCAAGAATGTAATGTGATTCAACGCTGAAATCTCGATTTACTTTTGGTTTGGTCTACAAACCAGAAATAAATTTCGAAACACATCAACACGGATAAAATTAAAAAGTCTATCTTACACAATGTTCATTCGCTCGTACCGCTTACACAAGGGCTTACTCTGTTACAAAAGGGCTTGAATACAACGTGTCAAAGAAAATATAATTTGCTAATTAACGGTACACCTGACGCCGAGACTGTTCGGTATCATTTCTCTTACACAGAAGTCTGCCAGTGGGCGAATATTTTCGCAAAATCTTCTTCTCACGTTATACTACTTCTTTTTTTTGTTCTTTTTTTCTTTTGTTTAAATACGCGTAATACTGCTGCTAAACCTCGAGTTAACCCTACGCAAATTTCATGCAAGTAAGCTACATCAGAGAACAAACATAAACGTCACACGTAAAATGTGTTCTCCTTTTCTGCGGCATGCTTCGCAGAAAAAAAAAAGAAAAAAAAAAAAAAAGAAAGAACAGCTAAAGATCTAAGATCTACAGTCAAAGGATAAAAAAATAAATTCTCAAAGCTACTTCGAATAACTATGGCAATACTCGAGAACTCGGGCGACGCTCGTTACATTATATTTTTCCTTTTGTTAAAAATACGTCAGCTTACCCAGCACCGTAAAGGCACGCGTGACAGAAAAAGAGACAAGGGATGACAGACAACCACGAAAGGTAGGGAAGAACGAGGTGGAAGAAAAAAATTAGTAAAAACAGAGCCGGCTAACTGGCGGCTTGCCCCTACTTTCCTGATTGCTAGCGCTACCCCCTCCACTGCATCGATCTCCCCACTCCTCGCTGTGCATGCGCCCTACTCTAATGGAGGGGGGGAAAGTAGAGGCCGCCAGTTAGCCGACTCTGACGTAAAAAGAGCAGAAAGAGAGAGAGAGAGAGAGAGAGAGAGAGAGAGAGAGAGAGAGAGAGAGCACGAAAGACAAAGAGGAGTAAGAAATAAGAAAAGAAGAAGAGACAGAAAAAATAAAGAGAGATCGGAATGAAAAAATCGACCGATCAAATTCGGAACTCTGCGACTCTTTCTTTTCCTTTTTTTTGTTTTTTTTCTTTTCCTTCGTTAATTATATACCTACGAGCTACCTACTGTGTACCTTACAATTGTAACAAGCTACAAAATACGTTATAATAATAATTAGGAGCTGCGCGAACATATGCACAGAGGCTTTATTAATCACAGCTTTAGTAGTACGATTAGTGTGTCGTAGAGCTGTACAATGACTAGCTAACATAAAGATCATTTCTTCTCTCTCTTTCTCTCTCTCTCTCTCTCTCTCTCTCTCTCTCTCTCTCTCTGTCGTTCTCATTGCATTTAAGTATCTCGAACAGAACGCATTGTTTCACCGTCCTTTTCGCGTGAATACAGATACGTGTTACACACGACGTTCGCGCGTATTTAAAAACCAACTGAAAAGGAAAAAAAAAACTGTTGAAACGAAAGGTGATACCGTCGTTTTTCCTTCCCCTTTCCTTTCTTTCTTCTTTTTTTTCTCTTTCGTTCTTTCTTCGCGTTCGCAAACTTTCTTTTGCGAGTTAAAAATCAGTCTTAGCCGGTCTGACTTCGTCCCGTTTCGAATCAAAAGCCTCAGGCATACGCGCGCAGAGAATTGTTCGCCCTCCTGTTCTTTCCAGCGTGAAAACGAAAAAAGAAGACGGGAAAGGGCGTCGAGACAGACGCCTACGATGTGCATACAAGGAAGTTCGAGGCACGCCAGCGCGAATATAGCTTCTTTTCCTTCTCTCTCTCTCTCTCTCTCTCTCTTTTGTTCTTCCTTCCCTTTCCCATTCACCCCTCGTCGTCAATTTAAAATCGCGCGCGTGTCCGCGTTTTTTTTTTCACTCCGTCGCTAAGCTTCGCCCGCTTATTTTCGTTTCTTTTTCTCTTCCTTCCTTTTTCTTTCTTTTTTTTTTTTTTTTGCTAACTTTTTTTCTCACGCTCAGCGAGCAATCGCTCTATCTCTCTCTCTCTCTCTCTCTCTCCTTTACCGCTCCGTCGATTCGAAATCGCTTTCTGGCGCGCGAACGCGTGCGCGCACGAGCCACTGTCTATTTTTGTATATCGTTGAAACGAACACGGACACGTCGTACCGAACCGTGCGCGAAATTTTTTTCTTTCTTTCTGTTTCTTACAGAAGAAACGAAAATTCCTCGCCTCATTTTTTTTATGCTCTCTTTTCTCTTCCTTTTTTTTCTTTTTTTTTTTCAGTTTTCTTTTTCTTTCTTTTTTCTTT